AGTTGTTAAGGCACAGCGCTCTCTGGTAGGCTAATGGTTAAGGCACAGCGCTCTCTGGTAGGCTAGTGGTTAAGGCACAGCGCTCTCTGGTAGGCTAGTGGTTAAGGCACAGCACTCTCTGGTAGGCTAGTGGTTAAGGCACAGGCTCTCTGGTAGGCTAGTGGTTAAGGCACAGCGTTCTCTGATAGGCTACTGGTTAAGGCACAGCGCTCTCTGGTAGGCTAGTGGTTAAGGCGGAGTGCTCTCTGGTAGGCTAGTGGTTAAGGCGGAGTGCTCTCTGGTAGAGCATCCGGCGTAAAACACGTGCCTAATGTCAACATGCGAGTCGTCAGTGTGAGGATTCGCTGTGGCGACCCCTAAACGGGAAAAGCCGTGACTTTCTTTATATTACAGGATTATAAATATCATTGTGTTAATGGTGAGTGTGCAGCTGAGTTTCTTCACAGCTGGTCGTCAGTGAACATCAGTAAACATCTAGTTCAACATTTATTTGTTCATGACTTCTTCTGTTATTTATGTCAATCTGTAAAGTAACTCCAGCTGTCAGATGAAGGTAGCACAGTACAAGTGTACAGTACATCAGTAAATGTACTTGCATTACCTCTGGCGTCGAATGACGAATGAAATGGATGTTTTTTCCAAGAGGTTTCGATTCTGAAAAAACTTTCAGAATGAAGGTTTGTGTTGTTTTACCAGGTGTGCCGTTTCCTCTCCGACCTGCTGAGGTTTGTCCTCCATCACCAGCTCACAGCTGAACTCTGTTGTCATGGCGATGCATCACCTCCTCCTTCAGCAGCAGCAGATTGACTCCCACCTCCTGTCCAGTCCATCGACGTTTCATATGCGGTGGTGTCTTCGTTGTTGTCTCTGATCAGAGACAGACCTGGACTGGACTCAGGTGGACCTGAGTTATTGAGACACAACATGTCGAGCTGTTCCTTCAAATTGGGTAGTTTCGGGTTCTTTGGCCTTGGATTAGTACTCGTCTCTGTCTCGGGTGTTTCTCT